TGTGTGTGTGTGTGTGTGTGTGTGTGTGTGTGTGTGTGTGTGTGTGTGTGTGCTTACTGTGCCTGAGCTGCCCAACGATAGGTGGCTTAACTGCTGGGTGAGAGGTCCCATCATGGACGTGGGCTGGATGGACATGGCGTGATCCATTGTTGGGGTTAGAACTGTACCCTGTGAACGCACAAAAACACACAATCTGTCATTTAGATGAGCCAAACACACAACTTTAATCACCCTGGTGCCAATTCTCATTTTAAAGAGCCTAAATACATGTGTTAAGAACTTGGTAGAGTTTAAAAGCTGCTGGAATCAAATAATGTTTATAAATGGAAAAATATTTTTTTGTGGTTGTTATTTTATGTGGGTTGTTATGCAGGAAATGTGTTGTATAAACAAAGCTTGATTTGATTTTTCATTTAAAGTCAGGTCAGAAATAAATGATATATGTATATATAATGACATATATTATTTTATTCATATATGATTGCATATATGGATGTACGGACAAGGCTCATAGAAACCATCAAAAACCATCAGTAAACTCTCATCTATGTTCGCGGGGGCATGCTTAAGTTTGATTATTTTTTACCTTTTAATTTAGTTTATCTTGCTGTGTTGAATTATAMATATAATTTCTTTTAAAGAACTCATTAGTGGGCTGGACTGAAGTCACCAGCAGGCCAAATGTGGCCCGTGGGCCACCAGTTGAGTAGCCCTGCAATACACATTGCATGAAAAATAACACGAGTGTGACTGGAAGTTATGAAACAGCACCATGTTTATATTAGCACTTCTGTTTTTAACAACCTGGGCTGGTGGGGAACATGACTCAAAGTGGCAGAACTGCAGACGAGAGGTGTTTGAGAATAAAAAGACTTTTCTAATAATCCCCTAAAACAAGCTGCAACCCTGCTGTATGTGCAGCAAAACACGTCACAGACATTTTACCAAGGCCTCAGGAAAAAGTCTTAATTTTTGGCCACTATTTTCTAGAAGTTGGATCTTAGTGCATGTTGAAAATAAGAAATATAACTTATTCAGCCTTTACAGCGGAAAGCTCTATGTGAGCTGTGCTTTTTCATTTATTCATTTCATTTTATTGGTTTGCAATTTGCTCACAAAAGTGGATCCAAACTCCTCAGCTGAACGTCTCGTCACTCCATGAAACGGTCGAGTCTGATCAAAGTGGACAAAAATAACTTTTAGGCTAAAGATGCTGTGTCAGACGTGTTTCTATTTTTACACTGAGCTGTTTGGTGCAGGATACGTGTCATGTGTTTGTTGCGTTAAAAAAAAAGGAGAGCGGAAGACAGAGGAGGATACTCACAGCTGGCTGCATGAGGTATGACTGATGGTGCATCCAGGACGGGCTGTGTACCTTCAGATCAAAAAACATAAAAACCTCTTTATAAGTTTTCACAGGCCTCTCTGAGATGTTATTTTCTACAGTATTTACAAAGAGTCAGCAGAAAACCCTGAAGCAGTATGAGGAAATGCATTTCTTGTGGGTTCGATGATATGTATTGTTAGTTGTCTGTATCTGTTAGTAAAGTATCTCCYAAACCACTGCATCAATCTGGAGGAAACTTTCAGGAATTCGTTACTGGATTTACAGCTACAACTAATTAACTTTTGAAGTGAGCTCAATTTAAGATGGTTGCTTTAGCTAAYCAACCTTAGAAAACACAAACATGGCTACAACTCAGCCAATTTCACAGATACTGAGCTGAGCTTTTGTCTGGTTGTAGCTGAGAGTCAAGCAAAGACTCAAACCATGTCGTTCATATCCTACAAGWTTTTAATTAAAACAGCCATTTACTGTTGTTTACTCTGTCTGTTAACAAAATATCTTTTAAACCACTGGGCACATTAAAAAAAACCTCAGGAATTAATAACTGTGTGTACATTTACAACTGATTAACGTTTGAAGTCAACCCAGTTAAAGATGGACGCCACAACTAATCAACATGAGCCGACACAAAAATGTCTATAATTCAGTCGATTTCACAGATACTGAGCTGAAATTAGATGCGRTGTTAGCTGAGAGTCCTTTTTAGCATACATTGGATGAGTTTGCTCATTACGTCATTTATGAGGTTTGATTAATGTGGCTACAACTTTGTCATTTCCAAACTGAAGTCGATTTTAGTTTAAAACTCTGATGTGAACGGCAGCAGGTGATATGTATTCCTTTAAGGAATACTTGCTTCTTTATGATGAGGTGTTTAATTCAGAAAATAATCTCTTCATGCCTGCATAGTTGAAAAACAAAACAAGATTTAAGTCTGAAAACAGTAAAACGTCCCACCTGGTACGACGAGACAGGAGAATGCATGTAGGGCAGGGAAGTCTGAGCGATCATTCGGTTTGGAGCCAGACTGTAATGTGATGAGTAGAAGCTGCAGAGCAGACAGAGAAAAAAAAAAAAAAAACAGGAGTAAAGACGACGGTCTCCAGGTCAATGTGAATTCTTCCTGTGTTTCTGCTGCTGTCCAGCAGAGGGCAGTCTGTCACCAGCCTTTCCATGCTGTGTTTATTTTACAGAAGGGCTGGGGCTGTTTTCTGTCAGTCTGTACATACCGCTCACTCACCCATTTTGTAAAGCTGTTGGGTCATATGTGAGCGTCATTCCTCCCTGGGAAAACAGCACACCAGATTCAGAACAAATGAGCTCATGCAAACACCTTTTTTCCCCCCAGTTTACCACAAACAGAATAATAATAGTAAAAAAATAATAATAAAAACTTTTGGACGAGTTTTAATTTTCCTTAAAACGTCTAAGAGAGAGGAGCAGCACAAACTGTAAGATGGCTGATTTAAACAAGGCCACACTAACGCACCGCATCTCCATCTCGAGCCCAGGGCCTTCCGTTTTGGAGATACTTCCCCTGGCTCTGCCTCTTCTTCTGACCCCCGTCTGCAAACTTGCATAATAAGGGCTCTGTGGGCGCTGAGAAAGCAACAGATCAAACAAGCCAAGTCAATTCGATGATCCCAGCGGGGAACAAAAACACAACAACGTTGTGCTGCTACGCTACAAAAAGCCGTCCACGTACCGAGCACGCCTGGTGGGATCTTGATGAACTTGCCGTTGAAATGCTGAATGATGGCCTCGCACTTCTCCGTGGACTCCATTCTGAGAGAGAAAAGCTCGACTTAARTCCCGAGCTAAAGAGTTCTGTTAAAGGTTGAAAGGAACGCCGCTCACCTGGCAAACCCSACGCCCCGGCTGGTCCCGTTGGCGTCCCGGAGGACGCGTGTGGAAATGACCTGGCCGAAGGACTTGAGCATGTTCTCCAGCTCCTGCTCGTCCATCGACACAGGCAGGTTGGAGATGTAGAGGTTGGTGGGGTCCTGCTCCTGTTGCTGCACAGCGAAGGAAACGAAAAAAATCAACTCACGCACACAACGAGACAGATTACTTTTTTCTTTTTACAGAACTACACAGTTGTTCAATATTGCAACAATATCAKTTGAGATAAACGCTCTTCGTCACCCGTCTGTCTGTAGTGTTAGCAAAATATGTCATGAACCAGTGGACTGATTTTAAGAAAACGTTTGAAGAGTTTGTTTTCTGTTGAACTCAACCCAATTCAAGATGGCCGCCACAGCCAAGTACAGTTCAAAAACACGAAACGAGATAATGAGCTAAAATTTGGTGTGATAGTAGCTGAGGCTCATTCCAAACTCATATTGTGAGATCTGTTTTTAAAACGTTCCCACTCTTACATGTAAGAGTCTACTTTGTTTGTTAGCAAAATATCTCATGAACCACTATATGCAGAGATGCACATAAGTGGTGCGCATGCGCGATCAAAAAGGATAATGAGCACCAGATCGAATGTCATAAAGCCCCCTTGCTTACGTAAGATTGTACCTGAGATTGTGAGAACAACAGCTAACAGGGTCTCAAATGCGACCTGATTTCTTAAAAACAAACAAAACAAACAAACAAACAAACAAACAAAAAAATCCAGCCTCACTGGTATGACTGGATCGTTGTTCTGTCAGAGGAGGGCAGCGGGACCCTGATGTATAAGGATTAAACGGACACTGCTTTCAACAAATCAGACAAACTCTAGAGCTGTTTTATCCAATCAGAGCAGAGCAGGGCGGGACTTTCAGTGAGAGCAGTTTTCAGCAGAGACAGTGGAAGCAGCAGCTGCAGCCATCAGTCCTGACATCTCCTCCTGCCCTTTGCTCCTGAACTACCAGAGACTTTGGTCTCTAAAACCTAACTTTTTATTTATGTTCAGAGGGTTGTTGTCGAACTCATCTGTCCAACTTTGCGTCTAAACTCTCTCCTCCTGAGAGATGGGAACGTGCCTCAGCGCGCAGGCTGTGAGTCTTTCTGTGAGATTCACTGTTCAAGTTCCTCTAAACCAAATTACCTCTAACAGAAGAACAATTATTTGCCTCATTTCAAAGCAAAGATGAGTCTGTTTAATATCACCCCCCATCCAAAAAAACAAATTGATTAAAATAAAAACATGCCATATTCTGTGAACGAGTTTTAAATGTTATTTTAATTTATCAGAAAGATCCACAAATTTTCATTCTTTACAATTTTATGATAACAACAAGGTTCTTGATGTGCTAAATTTGTTTTTATTTAGAATCATACTGTGACACAGCTTCTCTGGGATAAATGTAATTCAATAAATGATAAAATACAAAGAATAAATCATTTTAAATGATTACATGAGCTGAAACCACGTAAATATAATCTTTTTGAATTAAATAGTCTTTTAAAAAAAGGAACCAGCCTAACAAACAAAACGTTTGTTCTGTGCAAAACACAGATATTTGCTGCTTGGTCTGGAGAGTGTGGAGAGCTGGTTTAAACAAGGCCAAAGATCTAGAAGGCCAAACTACAGGAGCTGTACATCTCAGGGTCATGTGTAATCTAACAGACATTTAAACATGAAATGTTCAGTTTGAGATGACACATCCCCATGGGTCAGCCCATTGGCCATTTACGTAGTTTACAAAATGTATGCAGAGTAAAAAAATAGATAGATAGATAGATAGATAGATAGATAGATAGATAGATAGATAGATAGATAGATAGATAGATAGATAGATAGATAGATAGATCACTCAGTGGACTGATTTGGCATGGTGTCTCGAGACACTGCCAGCTGATAGAACAGAACAGGACAATAATAAAAGCCCTGACACCCCTCTGAATAAAAGAGTTAAATGAGTTTAGGAAAATATGAGCACCAAGCAACAACTTAGGTTCTCCCCTGAGAACCAGACCAAAAAAGTTATGTGCAACCCTGACTATATGTATCTTACAGAGCATTTCAGAAAGTTATCTTTGGATGTACGTCTACAACTGAATTCAAGATAGCCGCTAACCGAGTTTAAGAAATACAGAAATGTTTATAGAACACAGTCGATTTAGCAGATCCTGAGCTAAAGTTAGGTGTGCTTGTAGCCGAGCATCCTTCCCCTCACATTCCTTGAGCACGGCGACCAGCACGCTTTCCTTCCAGAAACACTGAGCCTTTAATTTAAAGTTTCACTAGTGGAAGACATTTATTCTGCGTACTTTCAGCTGACTTTGCAGAGGCATTTATGTTGGAAAAAAATTCTTGTCACATTTTGAAAATCTCTCTCTTTTTTTTTTTCACGCAGCAGAAATTTCTGTCCAGACAGCAGCAATGTGACCTGCCTTTCTATCAACCCAGCCCCTATCTGCTCGTGGAAAATTAATATTTCATCACGACTGTGCRTCACGTAAAGCATCTTCTTGTAACCAGAGCCGATATTACAAAAGACAAACACATTAAGCAAGTTTTGCATGATTATCAATTTGAAAGTGCTGAATAACTCTCCGTGAGCTGTAACGACGCTTGGAAAAACACTCAAACATCTATGTGTGTGCGAGGATAAAAGTCACACTTCTGGGAAGAATTCGGTGCGTTAGAGAGATCTTAAAAGCATTTATGAGCGGCGATTATTCCGAGGCATATTTTTTGCGGCATTTGGTTGAAAGTGAAACYCTGTATGACTGTGCAGAAGCGTACAGGAAGCCAGGCATGAAGTTTAAGAGTTCACAGAGCAACAGGAGCCTGGCAACCAAGAGAAAAGAGGCTGGACTTAAAAAAAAAGGGAGGAAGGGAAAACAGAAGGAAGAGGACAGAGCAGAGAGAGTAGAGAGGGGCGGGGAGAAATTAGCAGCTCAAAAGGCCGATATCTTGAACAGAAGGAGGCGGCTAACAGGATGGGCCGTGTAGTCGACGTCTGGACTAATTTAGGTAATTAAAAAGGAGAATGACAGATGAGAGAAAAAACAGGAAAGGAGGACAGATTAGCAGGCTCCTTCTTTTCATCAAAATCTCATTTATTCCTATCATTCACTGTTTAGTCTCTCCTCTGTAGTGTTTACTGCAACGTGAGAATCCTGTAAACCCACAAAGTTTTTTTTACACAGTAAAGAAGTTGTCAGAGTGCAAGAAAAAAAAAAGCTCAAGTTGCAGCTCAGATCATTAGAACCTGAAACAGCCCAGATCAACGAACAGGAGAGAACACGCAGCTTCCAGCATGCAAGCGAAGGGCCGGTGCAGCCGGTAAAAATACGACTCCAGTGTCGAAACGACACTGAAATAATTCATTAAAGCATTTATGGCATTAAGAAAAAAAGTGGCCATGGTTTTTTTTTTTTTTTACAAATGAAGATTTATTGCCTCTGTTCAAAGCAATAAGAACACCTTAAGAGGAGATAACCTGCTGTCTGTGGATAACAGGTTGGTTACATAACGTGCTAAAAGGGGTCAGAGCTCGGGTCAAACAGCAGATTGATAAACGGGGAAAGAAAAAGAACTCATTCTGTTTTATGGCTCATGTTCACCAAGCTGGTATTAAAACGCTGTTTAACCCAGCCCACGCTCGTGAACTGTACTTGCCGAAGCAACCGTGTAATTTTTATTATTATTTTATTTTTTTAATCCTGCTGCCATTGTTCCGGCGTTGTTCAGGGCGAGATGTGTCTGGAAAGGTGTGTCTCTGGAGTTGACAGATTTGCCGGGCTGTSTGACGTCTGAGTTTGAGCTGGGCGGTGCCGGGAGGTGAAAGAGACCAATCTATTTTTAACGTTGCCATTGTTCTCCGGGCCCCAGACGCAGGCAGCTCCTTTGGGCTTAACGCCTTGCGTTTGGGGACTGAGCGTACCTGAAGGACGTATAGAGAGAGGCATGGCCCGTCGTGTTTGTGAGCATCCATGGTGAAAGTGTGCGCAGCTTAAACTGCTCCTGTTAATAGACTGATTTGAGATTTCTGATTGCTTTGTCTCCTAACCTGAAGTAACCCTCGGACTCTGACAGCTGTGTGTATTCAGGGTAATATAGCCGTTACYGACATGTCTGACTGAGCCCGGGCTGTCTGAGTGAGTCAGGTCTTGGTGTCCGGTTGCACTCATCGAGGATTGAGGTATCCAGGATTGTGTGGCACTCATACAGAGGAGCTGCAGTGAACTTAGACCCTGGGTTGAGTTGCAGTGAACCGCGTCTTGTCCGCGCGGATCTCTTACAGTTTTCCCCGAGCCGAGCTCAGGGACAGCCTGGTGTTACATTGCAGTGGGTATGTTTGGGTTTGGGGACGGGGAGAGGGGAGGCGGCCGGGACACCGGGGTGGAGCGTATTAAGTGCTGGTGTCAGCCCCCAGGCCCGGGCCCAGACGATGGACAATGCCAGTTCTTTGTGCCTGTCCCATTCACAGAGGGTGTAGTGGCAGCCTCCCCAGGTTTTCCTCAATTGGGAGCATGAGAGCCGGAGGGATCAGCCTAATGGGCCGACAAGAGTTGCTTTGACTGCAGACACTTCGACAAAGGGCCGAGAAAAAGCRTTACAACCCAAGCAGGTTAGCAACAGACACTGGGGCGCGAGGAGGAAAAGAGAAGGAAACAAAGCTAAACGATAAAGAAATGAGGGACTCACACAGAAAACTGACATAATAAACTCCCTCACATAAACAAGAGTGTTTCATGTAACACTCATGTACAGTAGCTTGTGTGTGTACATGTCTTTGTATTGCTGTGTGGAGATACTTTGACATTATACTATGTAGGGATGGGTACCGAATTCTATACTTTTATAAGTATCGACCAAATTCTGTCTGTACTACCGAGTATCTATTCACGTAGAATCAAACTGTACCACGTTTCGGTACCTAAACTCATCATTGCAACTGTATTGGCATAGAAGTGGGAGATTTTCCATGCTTGTCCTGAACGCAGCATCGTACAAGAGCGTAATGACGTCAGCAGCCCTGGTTCAGAAAACAGAGCTCCTGGAGTAAAACTCACCGAACAGACCGCCTCTGAATTATCTGGTGGATTAATTATCTTGTGAACATGACGTTCGCTTGCTCAAAGTAAATAAAATATGGCCACTTTCTTTATTTCATCCACCATGAAACAGAGACCGGCAGAGGAAAACAATAGAGACACTTGCCGGCAGTCCGAACACGTCTGACCTGAAAGAGCACAAGCAGCTAACTTGAAGCGTTGGGCTCATTTTAGATGCTCAAAACTTAGCTTGAATACCTTTTATTTATTTTAACTCAATCCTCTTTTGCTTATTTGATTTAAACTTATTTGCCTTCCACGGACCTCCATCACACAATTTTTCTAACGGGGAAATTACATCAACAGAAATACGTGGAGCAGGATTTTAATTTGTGCAATAAGACAAAACAGTCTTGTTGTTTTCAAAAGTTTTCACCTTAAAGAAATAAGTTACACAACTGATGTTACAATACAAAGAGTTGGATGTTGTCTTGATATTTGTTAAATTTTATATATTGAGAAATATGTTAAATAAAAAAATGTAAAAAAAATTATTAGAAAGTAGAGAAAACTACCGGAAGTAACGTTGAGTACCGGTACCAATTCCCAGGTACCGGATATTGGTACCGAATCGATTCAAATGTCAAAGGTACCCATCCCTAATACTATGCTTATGAGGACATTTTGTTGTATCGACTTTTGCCTGATCCACAAAAAGGAAAAAACCCATTTGTGGGTCAGGGGTTAAGTTTAAAGCTAAGGTATGAATTAGGGTTAGGGATAGGTTGTAGAAATGAATGGAAGTCCATGCAAAATCCACACAAGTACATCAAGACAAATGTGCGTTTGTGTCTAGGCAGAAAGGACTGTAACTCTGTAAGTCGAGCAGGAGCCCCTATAAAGATCAATAATGGGACAATAGACTGAATGAGGAGATTAAATAAGCTTCTCAAAAACACATTTCTCTTAGACTGAGAAGAAAGAAGCCTGCACAGATCTGAGCAGTTCTTACTTTAGCCATCTGAGCCTGGACCCCGCTGGATTTCAGAGCCGTGACAGCTTTCTGTGCAGCTGCTGGACTGTCGAAGTCCACAAAGCCATACCCTGAAAACAAACACACACACACACAAACCCAGCTGTGTTAAAGATGCTGTAATTCAGTAAGAGTTGTTGCGTAGCCACAGAGGGCCGCCTGYGTCTCCACACTGTCTCCTCGTACATAGCATAAAAAAGCGGGATTCACCTTTGCATTTGTTGGTGGTTTTGTCCAAGATGGCTTTGGTGGACACGATTTTGCCGTACCTTTAAAGAACACAGAACACAGAATCAGTGGCGGCATGAGGTGACTACAGGACAAACGTCAGGAATCTGCTCCTGCCACATGCATACCAACATTTCTACATTTCCTCAAGGTACCAGACTACAGGTGTTACCGTGTATGCACACTTTGTTCTCCCTGCCAGCTACTGTGACTCATAAACATGATCTTACACTGCTACAGAAACTTTTTTCTTTTTTAATTGACTGCCTCCACCCCCTTTTTTTTCCTCTCCTTGTCCACACCTGAAGACTGTACAATAATTCTGCTCTTGGATGTTGTCTCTGACAGACAGGAGACAGCACCCCAGGGCCAAAAACAATTTGTTCTAAGCCTGTCTTCTCCAACACACACACACACACACACACACACACACACACACACACACACACACTGTCCGAAATCAACACGACAGTGGGCAAAC